TTAACATGATCTGTACACACATATGCCTCAAATAGTTCAGTAACATGTTGTTTTCCTATTATTAACATGATTTGTATACACACATATGCCTCAAATGTTCAGTAACATGTTGTTTTCCTATTATTAACATGATTTGTATACACACGTATGCCTCAAATGTTCAGTAACATGTTGTTTTCCTATTATTAACATGATCTGTACACACACATATGCCTCAAATGTTCAGTAACATGTTTTTTCTATAATTTTTCAAAAACATTTAGTTAGGGCAAAGAAACTTCAGTTAAAATAAAAGTTTTAAAAAGTAAGCAGGATTACAAAACATGGATTTTTCGTTTTAAAGTACGGTAAATAAATTATACCGTTACAAACTTTCACATTCAGCTAAAGTTTTCATTTCTTACATTAGTGGCTGAAACAGTTGGATTACAATCTTAGCCCTACAAATCTGTTAAAGAGACAAGATTATAATCAGTTGAAAGTCAACAGCACAGTATATGAAAATAACACTCGTTGACTACTGTTTCTTGTTTTAATGTAAGGTTGCCAGGTTCATTCGAGAACAAACAGAAACATCTTTCCAGTGTGTGGTGATATCTCTCAAAGAAGAATTCTATGGTCATGCAGATGGATTGGTAGGGATTGTCCCAGATGTAAGTAACAAATAATTGATAGTTTGTGTAAGGTGGATTTAATCTTATGTGGTTTGTATTCCATTACTGTAAAAAAATTCTCATTTTGGAAGCCATGGGTGAGTTACAAGTGTGACAGTCAAATCTATTATTTGCTCTAATGAGCAGCCCAACTTTTAATTGTGGGTGGTGTTGCCTTCTTTAGTCTATCACTTAAAATATTGGGATGTCAACTGTTAATTGTGGGTGGTGTTGCCTTCTCTAGTCTATCACTTAAAATATTGGGATGTCAACTGTGGATGGTGTTGCCTTCTATAGTCTATCACTTAAAATATTGGGATGTCAACTGTGTGTGGTGCTGCCTTCCCTACTCTATCACTTAAAATATTGTGATGTCAACTGTTAATTGTGGGTGGTGTTGCCTTCTATAGTCTATCACTTAAAATATTGGGATGTCAACTGTTAACTGTGGATGGTGTTGCCTTCTCTAGTCTATCACTTAAAATATTGGGATGTCAACTGTGGGTGGTGTTGCCTTCTCTAGTCTATCACTTAAAATATTGGGATGTCAACTGTTAACTGTGGATGGTGTTGCCTTCTCTAGTCTATCATTTAAAATATTGGGATGTCAACTGTGTGTGGTGGTGCCTTCTCTAGTCTATCACTTAAAATATTGGGATAGTCAGCACAGATAGCCCTAGTTTAACAAATTCTAGATTACTAATACAAGCTGTGTTTATTTTTGATTACTGCTTTATTGAAGTATTTACTTTCTGTTAAATTTCAAAAAGTAGGACATTTTTACATAAAAGGATCCGTAATTTCGTAGAAGTGAAACTTGATTTTATGTGTTGTAAGTCTTCCCATAAATGCAGTACGTTTAAAGAACAAATAATATTGAACAAAGAAAGATGAGTAAGCCAATGAACTAAAAACAAATGTACACTGTAACAGATCATATCCTCATGAGAGATTTCGTGTTGTCGTACATTTGCATTAACACCCAGAATTGTAGAACACAAACATCTTATGTACATTCATTAAACAGACAAGAAATGTGTGATAATCTTTTAATAGTAATAAGAGAGACCTTTCATCTTCCCACAGCCTGGTGAATGTACGATCAGCCGTGTCTTAACGCTGGATCTCACAGAATACCAAGAGTGACAGAATTTTCTTAATGTTCATGGAAGTGTATAAAAACAGCTATCAGATCTTTACACTAGTTTTACGATTTGTTTGTCTTCTTTTTTTTATTTTTTACCCATTTTAATTTTTTTCAGACAGATTTTAATGAGATAACATGTAGAGAACAGTCAACTTGATTGGTCATGAATATCAATGCTGGATATAAGGTTTAAAATAATTGTGCAGTTTTACCAACGTTAAAAGCTTCACTATAAAATTTATTAGTATACTTTTATGAGTCTTTATAAACAAAATTGACCTTACAACACTTGATTTTTACTGGTTTTAATTTTAAACATTAATTTTTTATTACCTTTTTTTTTTATATGTAGATCATAAAATACGTTTTATGTGGATAACCAATATTTCGTTGTTTTATGACAAGTATAGACCTGGGAAATTGTACAATTAATAACAGTCCGTGAAATATTTAATATTAGTTTTCTTCTGTGAGAAAAATAACAAGATAAATAGTAACAACAGATTGTTTACTCAAGCAGTTTGATATGGATATTGCTTTAAGCTCTGTGAAAAATTTTCTGGTTTTCTCTCATTTCATAACTAGTTTTTTTTACAATATTATACGTTGTTGAAAAACTCATTGTAAATAAACATTGCCACATAGTATGATTTATTGTCTGTATCTAATGTTTATATTTAAGGAAGATGATCCCTTCTTTATTTTAGCTCTTGTTTCTTTCATTCAGTGTTATGTAATCAGTTAGATTTCCTGGTAAACTTAGTAATGCTTATTTTGTAAGAGGAATAAAAAGTCATGGTCTTTCTTATTTTACATGTGTATTTTATGGTGTCTTCTTTTATATAAATAAATATACTCACTGAAATATGTGCATGCCAATGTATTTTATTGATTCTGTCTTTTTCAAATTCTTTTATCATTTCCAGCTTCAACCCAATCAATCATGGAACATCATAATATTCAACTACATGTAGAGTAATGTTGGTAAAAATAAGACCTCTTAACGATAGTGAAGGTGATTTATTCATTCAAGTGTAACTTACAAGTTTTATAGACTATGCCTAACTTACAAATAAAATACAACCACCCAGATAAATAGCTGTCTAACTAAAGGTTTTTGTTTGCCATGACAATTTAAACATCTTCTGTCATGTGACTTCTTCCACTCTAATTAATAATTTCAGTTCTTGCCTGCCATCTGGTGTCTTTTATAGCATTACATTTCTTATTTAGCAAATAACTATTTTATTTCAGGATTTTATGCAAAGCTATTCAATGGTTATTTTCACTAAGCCATCCCTAATGTTGAACGGATGGACTAGAGGGAAAGCAGCTAGTCAACTTTTTGTGCTACTGTTGTCTGATTGAATAGTGGGATTTGGCTCTCTTCTTATAGTTTATCATGGCCCAAAATGGAGAAGTAGGTTTCGAGGAGAATTATAAGTACTATGTAAAACACCCAACAACTTTGTTGTCTCCATCGGGTCCGCATGAAAATTCCCAACAAAAATATTGACGTGGTTTATCCTGTAAGTTCCAATTCGATTCATAATTTTCATTTTTACTGACAATAAGAAAAGTGCGTGGAGGGACTCTTAGCTACTATTATCATTCATACAATTGTACGCAGACTTTCGTCTTTTTAAGATATTACTTTCAGACTTCAAGATATCCGTAGAAATACATTTAAATCCCAACTTCAAGAAGAAGAATTGAAACTGATAAAAACTGTATTAAATAATGCTTGTAAATTAGATGTATACCATTTTGTTAAAGATAAACAAACTACATACGATAAACCTGTCACTAATTTTGCCATAAAAAAATACCAACCCATTCCTTGAAGAAATGAGAATACAAATACTTTAGCTGATATGTTACAGAATTCTAATCATGTTGATTTGTGATTCTAAAAATATATTTCCAAAATTGTTTATAACTGAAATAAACTTATAAAAATTCGTTCACCAAAAATAAGGTTATTAAAGAATTTCCGTGAAAGTATTGTACTTTTATTGAGTAATCCTTAGACCAAGAATTGAGGGAGAAGATCAAAGTTTTGAAGTTCCTGTAGCTAGGGTTGTACTTTTATTGAGTAATCCTTAGACCAAGAATTGAGGGAGAAGAGCAAAGTTTTGAAGTTCCTGTAGCTAGGGTTGTACTTTTATTGAGTAATCCTTAGACCAAGAATTGAGGGAGAAGAGCAAAGTTTTGAAGTTCCTGTTGCTAGGGTTGTACTTATTGAGTAATCCTTAGACCAAGAATTGAAGGAGAAGAGCACAGTTTTGAAGTTTCTGTTGCTAGGGTTGTACTTATTGAGTAATCCTTAGACCAAGAATTGAAGGAGAAGAGAAGTACAACCCTAGCTACAGGAACTTCAAAACTTTGCTCTTCTCCCTCAATTCTTGGTCTAAGAATTATTCAATAAGTACAACCCTAGCTACAGGAACTTCAAAACTTTGCTCTTCTCCCTCAATTCTTGGTCTAAGGATTACTCAATTTGAAGAAGAAGAGCACAGTTTTGAAGTTCCTGTAGCTAGGGTTGTACTTATTGAATAATTCTTAGACCAAGAATTGAGGGAGAAGAGCAAAGTTTGAAGTTCCTGTAGCTAGGGTTGTTCTTATTGAGTAATCCTTAGACCAAGAATTGAGGGAGAAGAGCAAAGTTTTGAAGTTCCTGTAGCTAGGGTTGTTTTTCACGATAATGGAAAACTGTTACTCCATTTTGTATGAAAGAGAGTTCGTTTAACTCTCGCCAGAACTTAATTTTTGTTTCATCTAAAATTCTTTAAAATAACGATTTGTGTTGTTATGGTTAAAAGTATTATCAAAATATGGTGTTTTTAATAAAATGTCACTGTCACAAAAGTTATGTAACTCTCAAGTGGCGATTTCATAAACTAGAAAGAAATAATTCCTTAAGACATTGTTACTAAGTAAAAATGCGCGGGTCTTACCTATTTATTAGCGCGGGAATTGAATCTAAGATGGTATGGTTGCCACAAAATCGCACCCCGCACTTTGGGGCCAATGAGTGAATTATAAGAATCGGTCAAATCCAGGGGCACTTGATCTAGGCCTCAAATTTAGAAACTTGTTAATTTTTTGACATTTATGACGTCTCGCGACTTTTTATGTGCCTGTCTTTAAATTATACTTCACTCTTCTTTTTCTAGAGCTAATGATGGCCTTGTTTCGTTTTTATTATAGTCAGGGGCCTCTCTGAGAGGTCCTTGTCAAATCCCACTATTCGACAACAGTAGCCCAAAGATTGGCGATGTGTGTTGAATTTTCTCTAGTCTCAATTAAGAACTAGGGACGGCTATGCGCAGATAGCCCGAAATAAATTAATAACACTTGTTAAGAATTTGTAGAATCCTTTTTAGTTCGTTATTCGTAAACTATAGAATTTTCTTATATTAAGAAATATGCTTAGATTGCGATATTATCTGATGAAATACACCTTTAGCCATCTGGAAATAAAAACTTCAGCGTAAATCACTACATTAAAGTAAAAAAAAACTGACGCAAAAGCTCAAGCACTTTAAATTTAATAATATATATAAATCGTTAATTACTAGATGGAGTTAGTGCAGTCTGTCTAGCTCGTTGGCTTGCGATTCCATGGTAATTTTTGAACGAGTGTCTCATTGGAAGTGATATATGCTGAAATGGAGTCTGGTGATGCTTTGCTCAAGAGATGGCGCTTTCGCAAATACCTGACGTATATTAGACAGATTATGATTGTGAAGAACTGTAAAATTACCGTCGTTATCGCACACAGAATCAGGTGGACACGAGTGAAACAAACATCTTCTTTCCCAGGGAGACCTGAAAAATAAATAAACAGAACTTAAATTACAAATTAACAATTTGTGAATACATAAATAGCCATCAAAGAAAAACAAAAATACCTAGCTTAAACCACCTAAATTATAAGTTAATAATAGCTATGATGTCGCCACCTACCGTGCACATCTACGTCATTAGGAGATTTATCCGTAAGGTATGCTTCGTGGCTGTCTACTACAATAGCCAGCTGTAATGGAATTTGTTCAGGCAAGTGGTCATCAGTCGATGAATCGGTCACTTCACGCTTCTTCCGTCCATAGCCTAACTTCCCGTTATCCACGCACTTGACCTAAAGTGGGCAGTTTAATTCTAAAGTATTTTTGTTTGTTTGTTCATAAGTATGCTATCCTTTGATCTCTAAACAAATTTACAAAAACAGATTCAAACTTAATTTGTTCCATCAGTGCCTTTTTTTAGATATTGAATTAATATATTTAATAAATTATAACGCAAGGATAATGTTTTTCCTTTCATTAATGTTTAAAAACTTTAACACTGTCAGTCTGGATTCATAAGTTACTGATAGTTTTGGTTTTAGAACATTAATGTCTACTGGTTTACCTAAAAGTTTAATAAGTACCTAACATTAATGTTAGCCCACATTCGATAACAAAACCCATATCATAACCAATTGAAAGTGTTATAACAGTTGCTACGTTCATCCGCTTGTAGTAGGAGGGAGAAAAAAGGTGCTCAGTTCTATAATAAAATAAACATTGCTGAAAGAAGGAAACGTCTCACCTAAATGCCTGGACGTTATTAAAAATATAAACAATTTTTTCTGCAACTAAAAACTTTCCCTCTTCTCGAAAAGTAGTTATTTAGTTTTAAATGCACCTGTGTCATGTGAAAATATAACAACTAAATCTCACTATAACTCACGGGTTTGCAGGAGACAAAAGTTGGTAAAATATAACAACCAAATCTCACTATAACTCACGGGTTTGCAGGAGACAGAAGTTGGTAAAATATAACAACCAAATCTCACTGTAATTCACGGGTTTGCAGGAGACAGAAGTTGGTAAAATATAACAACCAAATCTCACTATAATTCACGGGTTTGCAGGAGACAGAAGTTGGTAAAATATAACAACCAAATATCACTATAACTCACGGGTTTGCAGGAGACAGAAGTTGGTAAAATATAACAACCAAATCTCACTATAACTCACGGGTTTGCAGGAGACAGAAGTTGGTAAAATATAACAACCAAATCTCACTATAATTCACGGGTTTGCAGGAGACAAAAGCTGGTAAAATATAACAACCAAATCTCACTATAATTCACGGGTTTGCAGGAGACAGAAGTTGGTAAAATATAACAACCAAATCTCACTATAACTCACGGGTTTGCATTCCTCGAGGCAGAACTTGATGGTCACTTGAAATTTCACGATGGAGTCATCAGCGAAGCGAAAAGCGGCAAACTTGCCCTTCAAGTCCTTAGACTCAGTAGTGCGCTTAATGAGAGGAAACACCGAAGGTTCAGTGGCACAGCTAAAAGAAACAGAAAATCAACATTTAGTGGCAGCAGGAGTTATGCTGTTTTCAATCCTTCGATGATAACATCATTTCACAGTAAAGTGATTTGCATTTGCATATATTAAAAATAAATTAGGTCAGAGGAAAATAACCAAAGAAAATCCAGAAATAAGCTAAGATTACTAAACGAAAGATCATTCTTATTAATATGTTATTATATTATATATATTATGTCGAGAATATAGAAGGTGACAGACGATTAAGTGATAAATACATATAAATAGCGTAAGACGAGCGGGAAACAGCAGACAGATAATAGCAAAAGAGAATGAAGTTGGTGTGAAGTTAACTACCGTAGAAGTGATAGGCCTATCGTTAAATATGTTAGAGTGAAACTAGCAGTAGAAAAGAAGATTTTAAAAAATAATTTTATTCCGTCAAAGCGTGGTTCTAAGGTAATTGAATCAGCCTGAGTGCACTTGGATAAAAGGAACAGAGGATCTTCATAAGAAAGAAGACCAAACGATTACGGTAACTCGCGCCACAATTGTAAGTGAATCACAGAGAATACTAGCGCGATAGAAATAGAGAAGCTAGTTCGGCTTGTCAACTGAAATTCTAAAGTAATTGAATAGGTCTAAGTGGATATGTGACAAGAAGGAGAGAACTACATATATAGTATTTATGATATGCCCATAATATTTATAGTGTTGAACACTTTATTGTACATACTATTACGACAGCGGAAGTCACGTGACGCTGATGGCGTGCGTGATGTTTGGGGAAGTCCGTGTGTATTGGAGATGCCCTCTTCATTAGTATATAAGCCTAGCAGAGGAAAGCCAGCGCAGGGGATATATAAATGAAGAGAGAGCAGTAGTTACTTTGAGTTCCGTGTAATTTATGATTCTGTTAGTTTCGAGCTAGTGAGCCGTAAAGTGTGTTTTGCACTCGTCGAGAGCGAAATTATCACGATTGTGAATCGCTGTGATTTACAGCGTGTATTATAAAAGTTGTTAAGTTTAAAGTGACGAGAAACGTACTGATTGTGGAACTACCGTGTACTAAAAGTTTGTATCGAGGAAGAATAAACTGGTTTAATCAAAAAAGGATTTGTATCGCTGAAGATCCTCGGTAAGAATTTCTACCGGAAACAAACAAGCAGGTACGTAACAATACATTACCTTGTTCTGGATATATATATATTATTTTGAAAACAAGTGAAGTGCGTGCTGTTTATTCATCGTTGAATTTATCGCTAACAGGTCACAGACACATACTGTAGAAGAATCCTAAGCCCAACAACAACATAGTATATATTTATACTATTAAGAAATATAACTAAAAGCCTTTTTATTTTAACAGTTGGCGAAGATCAGATTTTTAAATTCTGACAGTAGTCTAAGACCAAAGGTTTTACTCTTTGTTCTTGTGTTTTATTATAAATTATTTGTACTTTAGCATTCTCTTTAGAAACGAGTACGATGGTACATATATCTCAATTTAATTCTCACGTTGTTTTCCACCGTTCAATCAGTGGTAAGAATTATAACTTTAAATTCCGGGGTTCGATAAAACATAGATAACCCACTATTTAGCTTTGCGTTAAAACAAACTTGTGTTGCTATTGGTGATTATTGAAAGTTTCGCCTTTAGTGTACGAACTTGCTGAAGGTAACTATACACTGAAACTTTCAATAAATGTTATCATTCGTCATTACTGTGGACGTTTTGTTCATCATAGTCTTATCTTATCATCAAAATTCTCTTTTGCTCTCAGTAATAGAAACATACCCATCATGGTCCAGCAATGTGATCGAGTTGGAATTAGTTCCACTTATGGCCACCAGGTCAGTCACGAAAATACCGAAGAGTCCTATTGCAAGTACAGATTATTGTTCATTAATAAATGAGAAAACCCATTAAAATAAGTCATTTTTATTTTTTAAAGGCATGGTCTCAGTGCACGAGTCCTTAAGTGTCCTCATTTAAAGCTAACTTATTAATTTTAAATATAGAATCAATACAATTAATAAATTTGGCCACCTTGTTTTTGTTCATATAGTTAACCGCTGGTACCTGGTGAAACTTCGTAATTACAGGATTGATGAAAATAAAGACAACTGTACATTTCACAAATATTTCATATATTATGACCATGATTTCACCAGACGATACTTTTACTGGTGAGACTACAGTCGTAATAAATGAAATATTTGTGAAACTTACAATTGTCGTTGTTTTTATTTAATTTATTGAAACATTTGTCTTTAAACAATATTATGACACATTATAATGTACTACCACACATACTCAGTGGCATTTGCACAGTCATGCGACATATTACCACACATTTTTAGTAACGCTTTCACAGTCCTGTGACACATTATGACACTTTTTGAATAACATTTTCGCACTCATGCAACACATTACGTTGCTTTTTGGGTAACATTTTCATAGAAGAAACACAATAAATATGAAGTAACAACTTTCAGTTATTACTACTTAATTTAATTTTTAAAAAGTTGCTTACTTTCATCTAAAATTTCTACCAATAGAAATAGCTTGTCCGTTATTACTACTTAATTTTTAAAAAGTTTCTTACTTTCATCTAGAATTTCTACCAATAGAAATAGTTCGTCTGTTATTACTACTTTATTTAATTTTCAAAAAGTTTCTTACTTTCATCTAGAATTTCTACCAATAGAAATAGTTCGTCTGTTATTACTACTTTATTTAATTTTCAAAAAGTTTCTTACTTTCATCTAGAATTTCTAC